CCGATTCAAACGTCGAATTTCTGCCGTGTCGAATCTAATTCATACATTATGTTAATGTATTGAGCATGCGTAAATTTGGTCCCGTCAAAGAGAAAGAAGGAACTTGGCTATTCTCAACCCAATGCAACCTGAAAATATTGCAAAACAAACTACTGCATTGTCAGCCTTCTCCTTCTCATTCCATTGGCGGACAATTTTTCGCAAAATTTAAGTCCCTCAGTATCTCCGTCCGCCATATTGAATACTCTGCGTTTAGAACATTTTCCGCTGACCGACATACCCGACAGTATTAATTCTGAATTAAATTTGACACAAGTGCGACGTATGAATCGACAGTCGCATTTCTGCCGCACTTAATTGAATTGAATTCGACAAGGCAGAAATGCGACGTATGAACCGGACCTTATTCATTTTGCAGCCGTCACTAAATCCTTGTTTGAGGGTGACATCGTTTTATCTGCCTTTGACCGGAGGTTCGTGGACACCCGAGAGGAAGGAGATGTCGACGGTGATCTGGGGCAGAGCCGGCAAAAACGGAATGCTAACCGTAACAGGATGGTTCTCTGGCAGAACAAAATTGTCCCTTACGAGTTTGATCCGGGACTTCCAAGTAAGAAAAAAAAGCAGCTTTTTGCCGAAAACTACATACTAAACAATTAGATTATGAGCTCGAGATTTCTAGCGCGAGATAGTTGACGAGGGCTGCGCCCTCGTCAACTATCACGCGTAGAAATCGAGAGCGAATAATCTAATAGACCAATTTCGATACATTAAAATTCAGCCTAACACAATAGACCTCAGCACGAGGCTCCGGGGAGTAAACCCCACAAACTCTGTAATTATTCCCCAGAGCCTCGCACTGAGGTCTATTGTTTTAGGCTGAATTTTGATATATCGAAATTGGTCTATTGTTTTAGCATAAATCTACTAGTCGTTCAAAACGTTATCTAAAGCCTCTCCACAGACACTTCAAAAACGCCAAGAAGGTTGTTTGTTAACAAGGGTACATTGCTACGCTAATCACTATCTATCACAGAATAGATAGTGAATAGTGTAGCCAATCAGAGAACGGCATTCGTGATAGAACTCCAGTAGATTTATACTCCAGCGAAATAGAGATTGACTGTTTTACTGGGACTCGATCAAGATATAGATCAGTTTACTGTCTCGGAGATTGGACTGAGCTGCTATTTCACTTGAGTCTGAGGTTATTTTCTTTTGCTGCTGGAAGGCATAAAAGAGAGGCGAAAGGTAACCCTTTGGCCCCGTTTCTATTTCAAACCGCTAACAGCTGCAATAAAGGATAGCCCAAAACAACTTGTCTCGTGCACGTTTTCGATCTTCCTTTGCGTTTACTATATCTCCCCAGTTTCACATTTTGCAAAAGGGTTTCACCCGAGAATTGGTCAGTGGGTTTCTAGCCGTCCAAAAGCGACAGGCCTTTCCACATGCGTTGTGAAGAAATAAGCAAAAAGCCCAATTGGCTTCGTCTGTTTTCCCATTTTTGCATCTGCCAGATTCCTTTCGTATTATATGGCCTTGTAAAAAACAATGTGTTTTATTCGTTGCAGTCGAGTACCAGGCAACCATTCTTGAAGCCATAGCAGAGTACCACAAACACACTTGTCTGACGTTTGTCGTGCGAACTAACGAACCAAACTGGCTCCTGTTTGTGCACAAAGAAGGGTAAGAAATGAGAAGGTTAGGTTTAGCTTAGCAAACCACTGAGTAACTGGCAAACTTGCAATCTGATTGGCTAGGCAATTACTGACCAGCAGATCCGTAGTCGGCCATATTATGCATCTGGAGCATGCACGTGTGATGCTTCACGATGCTCTTGGTAACTCCAATTTTTCTCATCGTCTCGTTGTTAAAACGTGAGTCCACATAAAAAAGAAGAAGGAAACAAAGAAAATTTTTCAAACCCAACGCGCATGCTAAACATCATCAGGAATTACACTAAAGTTATTTTCTCAGATCCTTCTCTTCTACTTGTCTGCATGCGCAGCTGGGAAGGAGATACTCTTTCAAAGAGATTGCTTTGAAAACAGGAAGTTGTTTTATATACCGGAAACAATTGTTCGGACTCGCCCATGTATTTTAGCTGATTCTGGTAGCTCAAACGTGAGATAACTTTACTATTCGCCACCTAAGGTGACTTACTACAGTTTTGATGGATTATAACATCCCAACTTGTAACTTTTTTGAAAAATGTTCCGAAATGTTTTTCCTTTCGCTATTTACTGTTTACTTACGTCTTTTACCATTCTATGTGAAACTTGAACAATAAACATCAACAAATGGCCAAAATGAACGACCGAGTACTTAAGGAGAGACTGGGCACTAGTAGGTTAAATAATATACCCGTATGACCCCACCTCAAAATTTCAGGAATAAGAAATTGGCTCTGATTTAACATTTATACAAAGTAAAATAAAAATCTGTAAGACCGATTTTTCGTAAATAAAGAAATCAAAAATAGCTCAAAATCTGTCTTACAGATTTTTATTTTACTTTACGTTAGAAGTTGGGCTGTTTTATTCCACCAAAGTTGTAGTAAGCCACCTTAAAGAAACGGTAAAAAACAAGGACAAGTCTCATCTCAGTCGCAGTTGGTTGCAGGACCGTTACTGGAGACAAAACAAAAGACGAGAACTCATATTTTCCCAGCAACGATCCCGCAAGTCACTGCAAGATAAGGACAACTAAAAGACTATTAAATAGGGCAATTCTGATATGACGTAAACTTTTTTCTTGGCTTTGCATTGCATGAGCACGGGTTTGGAAACTAGTCAATCACTCTAACCAAAGGATTTACATATTCTCGCAAAGTCAGTGAAACATAGTTTAATCACGAAGTCCAGTTTATCTTGCGAAAAAATAGGCCAATTTTGATATATTGAAATTCTAACTTAGCTCCGAGGCTTAGGGGAATAAAACAAAAGGAATTAATTATTCATCCCTCATCCTCGATGCGATTTCTTTTGCTTTATTCCCCTAAGCCTCGGAGCCAAGTTAAAATTTTAATAAACTTCCGCTTCCGTTTGAATTGAAGGCCTTGGGTTCATGCGAAATTGTCATCTCAGCCAAGACAATAACTTTCAGCAGGAGCCATAATCGGGGACGGAGACCGTAAGTCTCGGGATTCGCGCGCACCTATGATATGGGACAATTTTTCTATTTTTAGAACAGATTGCG